GAACTGTCAGTCCCGTTGTTTTCTCCTCCAGATTGTTCATCCAGCCTGTCCTATCCAGACAGGCCTGCGGAGACAACAAGGCATGTATACTCTTAATAATAAAAGTAAAATGGGGCATTTGTCGCTTTGGGGGCTTGATTTTTCTATTTCTTAATACATTATGGACAGTTTTCCTTGTCAGTAGACTCAGAAATACTTATATGGAAAAGACTGTGTCAGATGGTGTGAGTAATGCAGATTATGGCTCTCCATATAACTAATTTTCTACTGTGGAACATTGGTTGAGTGATGGCTTTTTACTATAACGACTTGTGCTTTCTCATACCTTGTAGCTGGCCTACGTGTGTGAGTATTGTTGTAGGGCAAGTTTCTAAAGTAAAATAGCTACACCAAGGCCCACACACCCTTTAAAACTGGATGGATGCCGAATGCCTGTTTGTCTTCCAAAGGTCTGTATCAATTTACACTTCCACTAGCAGTTTATCATCCTCAGCGTTGGGCGCTGACATTCTTTTTTTCTTTGCCAGCAGTAAATAGGCAGGAAACAGTATCTTGTAGTCGTTCTACTTTGCATTTCTTTGATTATTAGTAAGTTTGAACTTTCCAGTATATTTACTGTCTACTTAAGACTTTTCTGTTTATATCCCCTCTCCATTTTCTTATTGGGTTTTTTGTTTGTTTTTCTTAGTGATCTCATGTGATTTAAATACTTTACTGGTCATATGTATCGAGAAATCATAATTTATGCTTGTCTGTATTTGTTGTCTTGCTTTACAGTATCCTGAATGTGAATATGGTGAAATTATCCAGGTTTTCTTTATGGTTTGTGCTTTTTGAAATATTGTTTAAGAAATATCCTTTTTATCCCAATAATCAAGATAGCTCTTGTTTTTTTCTTCTAAAGTTATAGCTAAAAGGGAGAAAATCCAGAATAGAATTTCATATTCTAGAGACATAGAGGCTGGATGAACTCCCAAAATTATTGCCCTGAGATAATCTCTAAGCTTTAAGCCCCCAATCAGTACCTATGTTCTTCTTAAAACCAAACAATAGTTTTGCTTAAAGAATGTCTGCCTCGAGCATTATGACTTTAAAGGACTCACGTCACCAAAGGAGCCTTGGTGGTGTGGCATGCTGGTTACATATTGGGCAGCCAATGGGAAGGTGGGAAGTAGGAATCCACCAGCCACTCTCGGGGGAAAGACGAGGCTTTCTGCTCTTGTAATAATGTTCTGGCCACAACAACCTCAGGGACGGTTCTGCGCTATCCTAGCGGTCACTGTGAATCAGAAAGGACTGAAGGAGAGTAAGTATGTGGAGTCAAATTCACAGGAGCAACTTAAAAGAAAGGACACTCCGGGTTCTGTGAGTAAGATGGAAAAGGAGAGTGAGAATGGTTGATGAAGGTGGTCATTGTTACTGAATTATACATATAAAAAGTGTTACATTGGTATATGGTCTGCTGTGTATAGTCCCACCAACAGCCAAAAACAATTGTTAAAAATGCTCGGGCAGCCAGCATAACAGCTTATAAAGTTTATGTTCTACATCTTAGTTTGCTGAGTAGCATCTGGCGGCTCAAAAGCTTGTGAGTGGCCTCGAAGAGCCACACGTGTTGGTTTCTAATTGTCTGACGCCCGAAGAGAGAAGGACGCCAAAGGCGCAAAGAAGAAGCTGCTCTGCAGGACTGATGCCCACATGCTTTCATCCATGCTTTGAGGACAAAGGGGTGTCTGACCCACACCGGGCTATTTTCCATGGCCTCATATGCACGTGAAAGGTGGCCATTGAGTGAAGAAGACTGTAAAAGAGTCGATGCATTTGAATGGTGGTGGTGTTGAAGAGTATTGAAAGTACCACGGACTGCTCAAAGGACAGAGCCATCTATCTTGGACGAAGTCAGGCCTGCGTGCTGTTTAGAGGCGAGAATGGCAAGCCTTCGTCTCACATTCTTTGGACTGTTGCCAGGAGAGACCAGTCCCTGGAGAAGGACCTCGTGCTTGGTGAAGTGGAGGGGCAGTGAAAAAGAGGCAGGCTCTCAAGGAGATGGATCGACACAGTGGCGGCAACAGTGGGCTCGGACAAAGGTACAATTGTGAGGATGGTGCAGGTGTTTTGTTCTGTGGAGCACAGGGTCACTATGGGTCAGAACTGACTTGCTGGCACTTAACAACAAAAGCCCACCTGAACCAATGTCCTCATCTATTCTGAGACTAGAACTAGCATTCAGCTACCATTACCAACTATTCTGACCAGGGGCAGAATAGATGGCTCTAGCTAGAAATGGAAGAAATGGTACCATAATACTCAAAATATTAAATAATAATCAAAAGGCCAGACTACTGGACTGGTAGAGACAAGAGGAAGCTCTGAGATTGTCCCCCTGAGATGTCCTTTAAACTTGGCGCTGTCACCATTCCCTGATAT